AACCTTCTAAGTATTCCTTTATATGTGGTTCAGAGTTCTGGGACCATCCCCTGAACCTGCTTGGTCGGGTATTCTGTGTTGTTGGCAGAGCTCTCTGCTATACGTCCACCCGATCCGCCATCTTGTTTGTTCCCCTCTACTTGAAACTTTTCTGTAAGTTTGATATTTTCAAAATGAAATAAAAATATATGCTATATAAAAGGTAATTGAGCCCTTTCCCCTGGCCGGCAGCACCTGGAGTTACTGTAAAAGACGTGAACCAGCAGGAGTTCGTAAGAGCTCTGGCAGCCATCCTCAAAAATTCTGGGAAGCTGAAAGTCCCTGAATGGGTAGACACTGTCAAGCTGGCCAAGCAAAAAGAACTTGCTCCCCATGATGAGAACTGGTTCTACACACGAGGTGCTTCCACAGCACGGTGGTGGCAGAGAAATGGTGTCATGCCCAGCCACTTCAGCCGAGGTTCCAAGAGTATGCCCTGCCAGGTCCTCCAAGCCCTAGAGGGGTTCAAAATGGTAGAGAAGGACCAAGATGGCGGCCACAAACTGACGCCTTAGGGACAGAGAGATCTGGACAGAATCGCCGGACAGGTGGCAGCTGCCAACAAGAATCATTAGAACAAATGATGCTGGGTTAATAAATTGCCTCGTTCGTAAAAATAAAAAGGTACTTAACTGTTTAAAGAAAGAATAACATATTGTGGTTTGTAAATATGTAAATACAAAATGTGTGGCAATAATAGCACAAAGAATGGAAAGGAAATAGAAGTATACTCGTGTTAGGTTCTTACAGTAAATGTAAATGGCATGAAATTATTTGAAGGTAATATGTGATAAATTTTAAATGAATCTTGTAAGTTTTAGAAGAGCCACTAAGTAAAAAAAAAAAAAAAAAACATTATCAGTCAAATGCATAAGAGTTTAAAAAACAAACAAAACAGATACATAAGTCTAGGAAGAGGGGGTGATACAGCTTAGAAAAACAGCTAAGAATGAGTTGTTAAGTTGTTGTTAAGTGCCGTCGAGTCGGTTCTGACCCATAGCGACCCTGAACAGGGTTTCCAAGGCTGTAAATCATTACAAGAGCAGAAAGCCTCATCTTTCTCCTGCGGAACAGCTGGTAGTTTTGCACTGCTAACCTTGCGGTTCGCAGCCCGATTTGTAACCACTACACTACCAGAGTAGTAATATATTAATGACACAAAATTAGACATAAGTAGGGCAAGAGTGACAGGCTTGATTACATGTAGATTTAATTTTCTGTCATCAGAGGACTCCACAGTAAAATTGAAAGCAAACATCAAGTGTGAAAAAAAAAAAAATCTCCAAATGTATACTCCAGACAAACTGCCAATATATAAAGAACTATTACAAACCAATAAGAAAATGATAGGATGCCCAACTTAAAAACAAACAAGATATAAGCAGGAAATTCATAAAGGAGGAAATAGTGTGCAAAATATCCTAAAGTTCATGCTATATATATAAAAAAGTGCAAGATATATATAACTATTACAATTGCATTTTCAAGTTCCCAAAAATGCAAGTCTCTATATTTAAAGGATGGGTTCAATACATGGGATTTTTATCATGTGAAGCTGCCGTCAAACAGAGAAATGTGATATTTTATAACCATTCAGGCATTTCTCACATAGCTCTACTTATCTATTGGTATGAACAGAATATAGCCAGTACTTAGAATTATAGTTTATTAAAAAAAAAAAAAAAACAGTTGTTCAATGATCTGTATAATAGACACATGACTCTCATTTTTTATGAATTCACAATCTAAGAAAGTAAAATAATATAATAAATATTTTCACTAACTGAAAATTGCAGAAAAAAATTCCAGAGTGGAGGCATAGAGTTAAGGTTATGGGACCAGGTGTCCAAAATGTTTCATCTCAAATGACAGCATATACTTAAAGGAAAAAGGGAATAGTCTTTTCATTCTTTCTCATTTCTAATGGTTTCAATTTCTCCATTTTTGAGTTGTTACATTTATCTTATAATCATTCAAATGAATGATAAATGAGTTCCTAAAGTTAGTTGTAAAATATTTATTTTACAAAGCTATCCCAGAATTAGTTGTAAAATATATATTTCTTTCAAATATACCTTCTAGACAATAAAAAAAGGCTGCCCTTTTCAAATATTTGTATTTCTTCTAGACAGATATTACTACAGAAGTATGCAAAATAAAGAAAACAAACATGTTATATCAAAATAATAATAATAATAATACACCTTCTATCCTGCATGTAAGATTCACAAAACAAACACTGAAACTAACTAGTTAATGCATACATATGTCTACACACATGTATATGAATCATACAAACCTGTAATAGTGCTCGTCCAGGTAACAGTGAAATATCACATTGAAAACTGTCATCTTTTAAAGAGATTTCAGATGCATTTTCTTCAGGAGATAGGAATTTTTCACTACCTAATTTGGATTTGGGCTTATTTTTCCATTTTCTCAGTTGAATTTCATGTTTTAACAACTGCAATGAAAATAATTATAAATCCATGGCATCGTAATGAATGAAATGAAATATATACAGTACAGTGCTTGACACAAGATAGCACCAAATTACACATTACTTATCATCATTTTTATTACATAAATTATCATTTTCAATATGTATGTTTAATATTCTCTGCACCACCAGAGCATTAGAGATAATTTCCAATAGTTGTCATATAATACAGGTATGGGCAATTAGGTGGGGGATCTGGTTCAGTCTCTTTTTTAGATGAAGAAACTGAGGCACACAGAACTAAGATTCTGATAATGGTCAAATTGGTATTTGGGACATGGAAGAAAAATTGGTTAGCACGAGGATAACAAAAAAGGAGACTCAGAGAGAGAATTTGTGGACATACCTGATTTGTTATCCCAGGAAGTCCCCACTTTAACTTTTAATACATTCCTAAAAACTCTATATTAAAGAAAAAGTCTTAAGGGTAACTATTTCACATAGAGAAAATTTCAGTAAGATATATATGTGGGTGTGTTTGTATAAAATACTACACATAACTTCTAAAACTTTATGGAAAATGGAATTAAAAGACAATAGAATTTCTTCACGAACTTTTTGAGGTTCCCACATATCTGGTAGCATAGTGGTTATGAATCAGGCTGCGAACCGCAAGGTCAGCAGTTCGAAACTACCAGCTGTTCCACGAGAGAAAGATGAGGCTTTCTGCTCCCATAAAGATTTACAGCCTCGGAAACCCTGTACAGGGTCACTATGTACAGGAACCGACTCCACGGCACATCACAACAACAACATATTTAGATATCAACTTGCTGTTGTTGTTGTTGTTGTTAAGTGCCATCAAGTCAGTTCTGACTCATAGTGACCCTGTATAGGGTTTCCAAGGAGCAGATGGTGGGTTTGAACCACCAACCTTGCAGTTCAAATCTATCTTGTGGTCGAGTGCTTATCCCACAGCACCATCCCAGGATACTCTATATCAACTACTATGTGTTTTTATTATTATGCTTTGCTCAAGTAACTGGAATAAAATGTAGAGTTTTTAACTGAGTGATGAAAAAAAAAAAAAAAAAAACTAAACAAAAATAATTAGAATCCAGCAACTAGAGACAATAGTGTTATTGTATGCTATGAATTGTGTACTAGTCTTTACTTCAGATATCTAGAATCTAATGAAAATACATGTAGATTCTTATATGACTATAGAACAGGAAGCCATGGCAGGAATAATAATGGGGGGACAGGGTAGGGATGAGTAGAGAAAATTCTGTTACTTAGAATGTCCTCTTACTTCTAAGAAGGGTATACCAAGAAGATTTTACTGTTCTTTGCAGGGGAACAGTGTGAGGATGTCTGGGAAGAAGCTGGCTGGATAAAGAACGTTAAAGAGACCTTAAAGTGTGAAAGTTCCACTCATCTGTTAGTTTGTCTACTGTGGTAAACTGGAAGTTATGCCACCAGTATTTTAAATACCAGCAGGGTCACCCAAGGTAAATAAGTTTCAGCAGAACTTTCAGACTTAAGGCAGACTAGGCAAAAGCAGAGGTGGACCTTTGAAAGGTGGATTTCTGAAAGGTTAGCCCCTGCAAACCATATGAAAAGCAGCAGATCATTGTTTGATATCATCCCAGAATATGAGACCCTCAGGTTGGAAGGCACTCAAAATACAACTGGGGAAGAGCTGTCTCCTGATGGTGGAGTTGACCTTAATAATGTGGATGGACCAAAGCTTTGGGGACTTTTGTTTGCTGATGGTGCACAACTCAAAATGAAAAGAAACAGTATAAACATCCATTAGTAATCAGAATGTGTAATGTACGAAGTATGAATCTAGGAAAATTGTAACTAGTCAAAAATACAATATAAAAAAATCAATATCCTAGACATTAATGAGCTGAAATGGACAGGTATTGGCCATTTTGAATCCGACAATCATACGGTTTACTGCGTCATGAATGAAAAGTTGAAGTTGAATGGCAATTAATTGAAAGTCAAAAAGAACACTTCAAGATCTCTGATAGGATAATATCCATACACCTACAGAAAAAACCAGTTAATGCCACTATTATTCTAACTTACTCATCAACCACTAAAGCCAAGGATAATGAAACTGAAGAAATCTACCAACATCTGTAGATTAAAATTAATTCAACATGCACTGGTAATCACTGGTTATTTTAATATGAAAATTGAAAACAAAGAGAAAGGATCAGAAGCTGTAAAATGTGGCCTAGGTGATAAAAATGATGCTGAAGATTGTATGATAAGAGTTTTACAAGACCAATGACTTCATCATTGCAAATACCTTTTTCCAACAACATAAATGGTGACTATACACATGTATCTCATGAGATGGAATACACAGGAATCAAACTGACTACATAAGTGGAAAAAGATGATGGAGAAGCTCAATATCATCAGTCAAAACAAGGCCAGGGACCAACAGTGGAACAGGCCATCAATTGCTAATAAGCAAGTTCAAGCTGAAGCTAAGGAAAATTGAAACAAATCTACAAGAGCCAGAATATGACCTTGAACATATGCCACATGAATTTAGAAACCAACAGAAAAATAGATTTGATGCATTAGACACTAACAATAGAAGACCAGAAGAGTTGTTGGATGCCGTCAAGAACATTATACATGTGGAAAGCAAAAGGTCATTTAAAAGACAAGAAAGAAAAGAATAAATGGATGTCAGAAGAGACTCTGAAATTTGTTCTTGAATGCAGAGAAGTTAAAGGAAACGGAAGAAATTATAACGTAAAAGAGCTGAACATAAATTTTCAAATGGCAGCTCACTATTACAATGAAATGTGTAAAGGCCTGGAATCAGAAAACCAAAAGGGAAAAACATGTTCAGCCTTTTTCAAGTTGAATGAATTGAAGAAAAAATTCAAGCCTCGATTTGACAATATTGAAGGATTCTATGGGCAAAATATTGACTGATTCAGGAAGCATCACCATAAAAATGGAAGAAATACACAGAGTCACTGTACCAAAAAGAGTTGGTCGATGTTCATTCATTTCAGGAAGAAGCGTAAGGTCAAGAACTGGTAGTACTGAAGGAAGGTGTTTACACTATACTGAAGGCATAGAGGGAAAACGAGGTTCTAGGAATTGATAGAGAACAAATCAAAACGTTTCAACAAACTGATACAGTGCTCACACATTTATGTCAAGAAATTTGAAAGATAGCTACCTGGCCAACCAATTGGAGGAGATCTATGTTTGTGCCCATTCCAAAAAAACAGAACGCAGAAATTAAACGGAATGCAGAAATTATTTAACAACATTATTAATAGAACAGTCAAGTAAAATTTAAAGATAACTCAAAAATCGCTGCAAAAACCCTATAAAGAGCAGCTATGGGCCAGAATCAACTTGATTGCAATTAACAAGGCAATGCTTTGGAGGTTAGAGTTCAGAAGAGGGTGGGATGGAGGGTTGTTGTTGTTAAGTGCTGTCGAGTCGGTTCCAACTCATAGCAACCCTGTATAGGGTTTCCAAGGAGCAACTGGTGAGTTTGAACCACCAACCTTGCAATTCTAACTGACCTTGTGGTCCAGTGCATTATCGTACAGCATAACACATGGAGGGTTGTTGTTGTTGTTGTGTGCCGTGGAGTCAGTTCCGACTCATAGCAACCCTGTACAGAGTTTCCAAGGCTGTAAGTCTTTATGGGAGCAGAACACCTCATCTTTCTCTTGCGGAACAGCTGGTAGTTTTGAACTGCTGACCTTGCGGCTCACAGCCTGATTCGTAACCACTACACTACCAGAGCAATCTGGCCTCAAGGTGAGATCAGAGGCACACTAGTTTAATAGGTCAAGAAATTAAAATATAATTTTTAAAGATTTAATAATAGAGGAATAGTAACCAAATTCCAAGAAATTACAGTCCTTGCTTTGAATTCAACCATATCTCAAGTAGATCTCCTAATCCAGATGCCATATTTTGAGATTCGTACAAGTTTATGAGAACTCTCCAAAGGAGACAGCAAAGCTGTCTGAGATAAGACATAGAAAAGAAATCATAGCTTGGGACTGGAGAAGGAGGGGCAAGAATCAGGAGTTGGTCTGGGATAGAGCTATTTTCTCTATCAAATGAACTCAAAAAAGTCCAAGTCTGGAGGAGATATTGGGACAAGTGAGTATAGGTAAGAGCTGGAAGTCCCCTTTCCTGTTATATTAATAAATTTCAGCTAAACGAGCCCTGATAGCATAGTAGATTACAAGTTGGGCTGTTAACCACAAGGTCAGCAGTTCGAATCGACCAGCTGCTCTGTGGGAGAAATATGAGGCTTTCTGCTCCCATAAAGATTTATAGCCTTGGAAATCCTACAGCACACAGCTGCCACCACCTCAGCTTGTTAAGTATGGGTTCAGTGTCCAGCAAAAAAGAATACTCCACCCAAAAAAACAGAAACACAAGCTTTCAAGAGGGAGCCTAGATCCAGAGGGCATGGAGGAAGGTAGAATCTCCACTGAGTAGTATCCAATCTGTCTGGGCGGGACTGATGAAAGGAGATGGGGATAGGTCCCTTGTGGTACAATGGTGAATAATTGTTATCAGGGCTGACTGTGAGGATTGGAAATGTAAAAGTGGACATTTTGTAGCGAAAGGAGGGGAGAGACTGACTTTGCAGTCCAGGAGCGGCGGTCCCTGGAACCATCAAGGGAGAAGAGCAAAGTGCGAGACCCTATACCCAGAGAAGCAGTGATGCCAGAGATGGAGACAGAGACGATGATGTGGAGAGATGGAGTAGTTGGGAACTCTAGACCAAGAAAGGGAGACGGGCTGTGTGCTGATGACCGGTGGGGCAGGCTTGCAGGGTATATCCTTTGGTTGGTTGATGATGCATGGAGGGGATTGTGACCATGGCAATAAAAGATTATACGATAGGATGAATATAAAGCTAATGTTCTCCCATAATTCACAATAAACATTAAAAAAAAAGAAGAAGAAGAAGAAGAACCAGAAACACAATAAAAATATGAATTAGGAACAGCAATTATGAAAACTAATAACAACAATTTATATATCATAAAAGTATGATTCTTGAAACAAGTCAATGAATGCATTGAACACTGGAAATTGATGCAACTAAGGGGAAAATTCATGATGTGGAAGATGGATTCAAGGAACTCTCTTAAAAATGATTAAGGAGGGTTAAGAAGATGACAAAAAACTGGTATGGAAAAAAGAATTCAATAAGGTGACAACCATTATATTGGAAACCAGAATAAAGTAAAAGACATGTGGAGACATGGTCAGCATTCCTCAAGCTGATGGAACTGAAGAAAAAATTCAAACCTTGACTTGAAATACTGAAGGATTCTATGGGTAAAATATTGAATGATGCAGAAAGCATTAAAAGAAGATGGAAGGAATACACAGAGTCACTGTACCAGAAAGAGATGGTCAGTGTTCAATAATTTGAATACGTAGCATATGATCAAGAGCCAATGATACTGAAGGAAAAAATCCAAGGTGCATTGAGGGCATTAGCAAGAACAAGGCTTCATGAATTGATGGAATACAGATTGAAATATTTCAACAAACTGATGCAGCACTTGGGGCACTCACTCATCTATGAAAAGAAATTTGGAAGACAGCTACCTGGCCAACTGACTGGAAGATACCTGTATTTGTGCCTATTCCTAAGAGAGGTAACCCAACGGAATGCAGAAGTCATCGGACAATATCATTAATATCTCCTGCAGGCAAAAGTTTGGTAAAAGTAATTCAAAAATGACTGCAACCATACATTAACAGAGAACTTCCAGAGATTCAAGCCAGATTAAGAAGAAGATGTGGAATGAGCAATATCATTGCTGATATAAAATGGATCTTGGCTGAAAGTAGAGAAAACCAGAAAGATGTGCTTTACTGCCTACGCAAAGATCTTCAATTGTTATGAATAATGACTAGCTATGGACAACCTTGTAGAGGATGAGTATTCTGAACCACTTAATTGTGCTCTTGAGGAACCTGTACAAAGACCAAAAGGCAGTTGTTTGAACAGAACAAGGAAACACTGAATGTCTTAAAATTAAGAGAGGTGTGTTCCAGGGTTATAGTCTTTCACCATACTCATTCGATCTGTATGTTGAAACAAATAATCCAAGGAACTGGATTATATGAAGAAAAATGTGGCATCAGGATTGCAGGAAGACTCATTAACAACCTATGATATGAAGATGATACAATCTTACTTGCTGAAAGTGAAGAGAACTTAAAATACTTACTGATGAAGATCAAAGAGCACAGCCTTTGGTATGGGTTGTACCTTAATCTAAAGAAAACAAAAATCCTCACCACTGGATCAATAAATACCAACCATATGAATGGAGATAAGATTGAAGTTGTCAAAGATATTTGGCTCGGATCAATCATCAACACTTACGGAAGCAGCAGTAAAGCAATATGATGTATTGCATTAAGCAAATCTGCTGCACAAGACCTCTTTAAAGTGTTGAAGAGAAAAGATGTCAGCTTGAGGACATGACACACCTGACCCTACTCATGGAATTTTCAATAACCTCATACACATGCAAAAGTTGGACAGTGAATAATGAAGACTGTAGAAGAATTGATACATTGGAGCTAGGGTATTGGAAGAGAATATTGAAAGTATCAGGAATAGCCAAAAGAACCAACAGATCTGTGTTGGAAGAAGTACAGCTAGAATGCTCCTTGGAAGCCAGGATGGCCCGACTTTGTCTCTCATACTTCAGACCTATTGCCAGGAGGGACCCAGTCCCTGGAGAAGGATATCATGTTTGGTAAAATGGAGGGTCAGAGAAAAAGAGGAAGAACCTCAAAGAGATGGATTGGCACAGTGGCAACCGCAAGGGGCTTAAATGTAGCAACGTTTGTGTGGTTGCCGTAGGACCAGGCAGTGTTTTGTTCTGTTGTGCATAGGGTCTCTATGAATTGGTACCTACTCGATCACACCTAACAACAACACTTTCTTCCTATTTTTTCTGTATGTGTTCCAAAGGAGACTTGGTGGCACTGTAAGGTAAGCACTGAGCTGCTAATTTCATGGTCAGCAATTTAAACCTACCAGTCTCTCTGGTAGCATAGTGGTTATGAATGGGGCTGCGAACCTCAAGATCAGCAGTTCAACACTACCAGCTGTTCCGTGGGAGAAAGACGAGGCTTTCTGCTCCCCTAGAGATTTGCAGCCTCGGAAACCCTGTACAGGGTCACTCTGAGTCGGAACCGACTCCACGGCACATAACCACCACCACCACCAGTCGCCCCTCAAGAATAAGATGAGATTTTTTACTCCTATAAAGATTTGATGCCTCAGAATACCTAAGCAGAATCACTATGAATCTGAATCACTTCGATAGGAATGAGTTTGGCTTTGGAGTTTTTTTGTTATTGTTATTTATCCCAATTTGTGTTTCAAAGTAAATTAAAAAAGAAGATTTCCTACTAAATAATATAGCTACACAAAAAATATCCAACATTCTAGTAGCTACTCTGAACATTCTTCAACCTTAGTAATAATATACTACTAATTGAAGCAAAAAGAGCTCAGGTAGCATAGTGGTTAGGAATCAGGCTGTGAACCTCAAGGTTAGCAGTTCAAAACTACCAGCTGTTCCACGAGAAAACAATGAGGCTCTCTGCTCCCTTAAAGATTTACAGCCACGGAAACCCTGTCGCTATGAGTTGGAGCCGACTCCACGGCACATAACCACCACCAGTTGAAGCAAACTTGAGATGAGATATTTTTTAAGCTTGGAGTTTTCTTGGATCCTCTGCTTCAATTGCTTTAACTCTAAGTGGGTCTCGCACTAAGAAAATCCCTTTAAGTTGAATAACTTAATATTGACTTATAATTTATCAAAATGAATGTTGAGAAAGAATGAATAGAGAGCAACTTATCTTATGTAGAAAAAAATTAATTTATTCAGTCTTTATCATTTATTTCTCTATTGTAGTCATGTCTAATAGTTTTTCCTTAATGTTAGACATCTGTATGAGTCTGAACAGACTCAATGGTGCACAACAATAACACCATATCCATTTAAACATCTTTAAATAAGATTCTTGGGTTTTTTATTAATAAGTTTCAATAAAAGGTTAAGAGATTTTACATCATCATGTAAACAAGCAATAGAATTATTAGTAAACATTCTTGGTGCTGAAATGACATTTAAATTACTTATTTAAAAGAAGAAAACTGCCACCAAAAGGACACATTCAAAATTCTGGTATTTTCTACACATTATTACCTAAGCAAAAAGATTAACAATATATTAATATAATGGCAAGATATTAGTTTCCAGTGTACCGTACCAGCTCATCTTCTCTCATTCTAGTCTTATGTCTTGCTTTATCCCTCCACTTTGTTAGAATGTGTATTAGCCTCTGGCAATAGAATAGGTTTTGGATCCGGAACTGTGTCTCTAAAGAAAATGTATTAGATTATTGACTGTAATCAAAGCTGTTTCTAAAACACTGTGTTTTAATATTTCATCATGTTTGCACTATGAGCCAATATTGCATCTGATCATTTTTGCATGGCTTTAATTACATCTGAAATAAATTATTTTTGACAGCATTAGATACTACTTGTAAACATCACTTTTGCCTTAGAAATTAAGATGTAATAGCAGTATCAAGACATAACATTACTTTTTTTTTTTAACAAATCAGTTTTTTATAAGATGCCAAGTTCATCTATTTAAAAAAAATCATCATAAGGCAGTATTCAAATCTAATGCCTTTGAATTTAACTAAGTGCCCTATGATTTAAAACATTGCCTTATTTTTTGTTAACCAGGGGTTAGAAGCACAAACACAAAAGCCAGGCCAGGAAGGAGAATATACAAAGATGTTATAAGTGTTGATACAAAATCATAGAATTATTATTAAACAAAAACATCAAAATGCAAAGCTATTGTTTCTCCGCATAGTCTTCATCTAGATCTATACACTTCTGAAAGTAGTGTTCATACCTCTCTACAAACCTATCAGCCACTCCTGGGAAACCCTATACAGGGTTTCTATGAGCAGGAACTGACTCAACAGCACTTAACAACTACAGTAACCCTTCCCCAGAGTCCTGGGGTGGTACTATACGATAAACATTGGATTGCTAACCACAAGGTCAGTGGCTCAAACCCACCAGCTTCTCCTTGGAGGTCCTATAAAGGGTTGCTGGAAGTTGAAACCAACTGGGCAGCATTTAACAACAACAACCTTCCCCAAAAAAATTCTGCACTCTGATTTATACCATGTCAAAATGGCAGCTTTGGAATTCTCAAGAGATTCAAATTTTGTTTCTTTTAAATGTGCTTTGAGTTTGGGGAACAAAATCAAGTCTGCAGGGCCAAATTCAGGGCCGTAGGGTTGATGGGCTAAGATTTCCACAATAAATTCTCATGGGACAGCCCTTGCTACCCTCAAAGAGTGAACAGATGTATTGTCATGGTGGAAAAATTTGTCTTAGCGAACTTTCCTGGCTTTTTTCTCACCAATTCAGTTTTCAATTTTCTTAAAATGTCTTGATAATAAGCCCTTGTGGTTGCCTTGTATTCTTTGAGAAAAATCTATTAAATTTGCCCCTTGGGAATCCTAAGAAACAGTCACCATAACCTTCTCAGCTGACTTCTCAGGCTTGATTTGAACTGACCCAGAAGATCCAATCAGAAGCCACTGTTTGGATTGGGCCTTTGTTTGAAGGCACTTAATGAGACTAGAACAAGTGTATTGCTAAGAGAACTTGTCTGCAGTTACCCACTGATCACAGAAACATGTTTAAATATGTTTTGTCTGGAAGAAACCCATGCATGTATGAACTGGAACCCCAGTAACAATACTTTTTGACTTACCCTCATCTGTTGCACTAGCTGTCTAGTTTGTAAAAAAAAATTGATAATAGATCCCAATTTAGAATTATATATTCATTCGGGCTGCAAACCTTAAGGTCAACGGTTCGAAACTACCAGCCGCTCCGCGGCAAAAAGATGAGGCTTTCTACTCCCGTAAAGATTTACACCCTCGGAAACCCTGTGCAGGGTCGCGATGGGTTGGAACCGACTCGACAGCACTTAACAACAACAACAACATTCATACAACTATATAGCATTTGATTTTAAATCTTTTTTGTTACAGTAAAATTCTGAGACAAATCTCATTAAATATTTTAAATCAGTAGATTTAATTTCATTCTGTGACAGTTCTCTAAACATAAAATATAGTAAGTTTCTAAGTGTACATACTATGTGTAATTATGTATATTTAATCTGTGAATAAATGAATACAAAACCAAATTGCCAAAACAATAATGAGATATCATCTCACACCAGCAATAACAGCAAAGATCAAAAAAGTAGAGGACAATAAATGCTGGCGAGGATGTGAAGAGACTGGGGTGCTCCTCTATTTCTGGTGGGATTGCATAATGGTCCAACCTCTCTGGAAAACAATAAGGCGCTTCCTAAGAAGGTTGGAAATAGAAATACCTTATGATCCAGCAATTCCTCTACTTGGTATTTACCCACAAGAAATATGAACCAGAACACGAATGGATATATGCACACCAATGTTCATAGCAGCACTATTTACAATACCAAAAAGATGGAGACAGCCTAAGTGTCCATCAACTGAAGATAGATAAACAAACTAGTACATACACACAATGGAATATTATGCTACCTTGAAGAGTAACAAGGAAGTTGTAAGCTATCACATAACATGGATGAATCTTGAGGACGTTATGTTGAGTGAAATTAGTCAGTCACAAAAGGAGAAATATGCATAGGACCACTACTCTAAAAGACTAAGAAAAAGAACCCATACTAAAGTGTGTGTGTGGGGGGGGGGGGTGATTCTTTGCTGGTTACTGGGA